TTTTATTTTGAAGCTGATACATTTATCTCTCATGAAATATCAAACATATTAATATTTTCCACCAATAAAAGTTTCGAATTTAATGGAACATTTACATGACCTTTGAAAGTATAGTATATTTCAACTTCAATTTTCATAAATTGGCCAAAATTCGCTAATTCTAATTTTAACAGATATTAATTAATAAATGATTGAAGATTATAATAAACTAAGTCATTTTAGGGTTAACGAGGGTTAACTATTCGAAAAATCAATTCAAAATCTGAGTAATTTTCAGTTTTACGCTGCCTGAGCTTTATAGTCACAAATCGATCTTTAGACAAAATTATAATGAACACAGAAATAATTTTAACAGAAATATTTTCCAGAATCCGTTCCTGAAATATACAAATAATAACATACTAAAAGTCCGAAAAAATCTAATCAGGGGAACATTATTCATTATAAAGATATTTAATGGGTTAAAATCAAACGCTTTATTGCACAACTGCTCTGCTGGAAGCGTACAAATGCATGTCGTTGCCAAGTTGTTGCTAACGAAAAAATGTGAATTATAGGGTAATACGCCCGCGCGCGATCCAAAGGCGGGGAACACATAGGTTTGTCTCGTCAAATGGATCTGTTACCGAGTGATCTCCTTCTCAATAATACCTCCATGGTTAAACCAAGTGCAAACAGTTGAATTCCAACAGTTGTACAACAAAATATCATCACCTATAGGCCGTGAAAAAGATCATTTTAATTTTTAACATGAATTACCATGTAAAATTTTAATATTTATGTTGCATTGCTGAATTCCACTTGAGTCGAAATTATCTAAATTTGGCAACTTCCCAGGGAAATCCCTATATCTTAGTTTTTTCTAAAGGATTGCAAGGTACAAAAAAAAAAAAAAAAAAAATAGAGCAAAAAAAGCACAATACATCAATAGGGGTACAAAAGACTTGAAGCAAGATGGGTAACAAAATCAAATGACTTAGTTACTGGACTATACATCGACTATTTCGACATATATGTCTTTAAAAATCACTGTCTGGATCTGAGTCATCATCATATGTGTATTTGACAGCGGCACGTGCTCTGCCACCGACACGGGATTGCACAACTGGGCTATCGGTGTCGTTATTACCAGCATCAAATGACAAGTCGCTGTTATCGTCATCATCAGATGACCATGCCATCTTCTTTTTCTTGGGCTGTGGGAAAACAAAATTTAAATGATATACATTTTGTATCAAATTTCTTAAGATACTGTATATATTCTTTTGGAATGATTGTTAAAGGTTTAAAAATAATTGAAGAGTTTTCTGTGACGAGATGAAAATTAACTCATTCCCATCTTGCTTTTCTGATTGGCTGTAAGGTGATGACACAAAGTATGTTAGTCTAGTAGCACTCCACCAAATGACAAGCACGGACCAAGAAAATAAATAGCAAATTCAAATCTCAAATCAATTGACCTTTCCACCAAGCCAGATACTGTTATTAAAATCCCACAAAAAACACCAGACAAGCACATGCTCCTAATCCTATTCCGACTAGTAAGTTGGTAAGTGATTACCACTGCAAAAGGTCATGATAAAACCTCACGGATGTGAGGCAGTTTACATGAGTGAACATGTCATCCATAATTTTGTAAATGTTAACTTAAGTCTATCACATAAAACCAATTATTGACTTTCTATAAATGATAACTTGCAACTTCGTCAGGGTTTCGAGGGAACAGATCACATTTTATTTTTATTTCAACATGGAATCAATGTAAGAGCTTGTATTTACCTTTGTGGCTTTCTTTGCAGCTGGTTTTTTAACTGGTTTCTTTACTGGTGAAATGTCTGAGTCTGAATCAATAGTCAACGCCTTCTTCTGTTTGACTGGTTTCTTGGCTGGTTTGCCCTCATCTTTAAAAAAAAAAATTAACGAAAAAATGTTTAGAATTTGTCTATTCATTCATTTATATGTAATCAATCAATCAATCAACAGCTGTACTTCCATTAACTGACAGCTAAACTTCCCATCTGGAGGATACCTTATTACCAGTGCACACGCCCCTCCAAAAATTATTCCCGCCCACCACCCTCATAAAAATCAAGGTCAAGTTGTTAAAAAGCACCTAAAATCACCTTATTTTGCAAGTTAGCGCCCCTGAACTGATCATTGAGCACCCCCACCCCACTGTACCTTCGCTTCCGCCATATGCACCCCCACTTCAAGACTCCTGGATAAACCACTGCTCATTACATTATCTGACTACAAGATAGCATAATAGCTAAACATCCAATCTGGAGGACAATAGCACACTCCCATTATTGGATTGCAATACAGCACAGGACTGACTGTTATCCATCCCATATGGAGGATAATAATTCACCCCATCATTTTACTGAAAGATGATACCCTAGTCCCATCATGTGATTGCAAGATAATACAAAGGACTGTACCTGAAGCACTAGATTCTTTCTTAGTTGTCTTCTTTGTAGTTGTCTTCTTAGTAGCAGCAGGCTTTTTCTTCGTTCCTGCTTCTAAACAAAGATAAGAAATAAACTGATGAAATTTTAGGAAATAGACTCATTTCAATGTTTACATTGGCATATCTGAAACACTAGCAGCACCCTCTACCCTACAAGCAGAAAATCCTTGAGGTATAGGAAAAATGCATGGGAAATTAGGATACAAGTTATGTTTTTTTTTTGTTGTGCCAAAAATATGAAAGCTAAGTGAATGAAATTTACATGTCATAGTATTAGGAATCGACGAAAAAAATAAAATTTTACAAAATCGTATATATATATTTTCAAATTCAATTTTTAAAGTCAATTTTATCTTATCTCTTCAGATGTTGCAATGTGTGAGTGCCCTAGTCCAAGAAAGTGAAAGCTTTATACACAACGCTACAATACTTGTTGAATATTGACAAGACATTTAATTTGTCTTTTGGTGCTTTTGCTATTGGCTTCGCCAAGAAGTATAGGCCTATGCTAGTCCTTTTTCATCAGGAGCTCGAACCGACTAGCCTCCATAATTATTGTTTGTTGTCTACTCGCTGATCTGTGGCGCCAATCTCTATCATCACAGAGGTCGCAGTCCCCTCTACCATCAGCGTGATGGTGGGGCCTAGAGTTTGCACCCCGCGACAAGCCAAAAAAGTACTATTTTTCAGGGGAATAGTACTTTCGATTGCCCGCATCTTAACCAATCAGATGCCTAGAATCTATGTATGAGGTATAAGCTTTATATTAGCAGACATAAAAACCAAATATTATTCATTTTGTAGCTTACCCTTTTGACTCGCTGCTTTCATTAGATCAAATGCATCCAGTTTATCAGATGAACTATTGTCCGACTTCTTCTCATCGTCCGAATCATCCAACCAAGAATCCATTTTCGGCTTTTTGGCTTTTGCTGGTTGAAAGCTCAACTTGCTTTGTTTCATTTTGTTGGCCCCTGCTATGAGGTGAGGGGTTAAAAAATGTTGCCAGTGTTACAATGTTTATTTTTGAAAATAAAGAGAATAAATGCATACATCAACTTAAGTTTTGTTGTTTTCAATAAAAATGAAAATTCTTTGAACTACATTTTCTCTAGAATTGATCCAAACAGAAATAACAAAATAAGCTTATGCAGAGAAATTTTAAATTGAATGTTATTTATTCATAAATCATATTTCATATGCATCATTATAGCATGATTAGCAGAAGGGCAACTGCACAGTCATGTCACCTTACAACGGTTTTAAAATGTTTCCATAACAACCTGAATCTCTGTAAATTTGTACCTAAACTTGAATTCACAGACTTTCTATCAACATGTGCTAGTTTTGCAGTGTTCTTGGCAACAATATTTTTAGTATAAACATTATTTTTTAAAGATTGTGTTGATCTTATCCTTGGGTATAGATTAAACCCAAACAATTGAATAGAATTTTGCCTAGAGGTAATAAATTTGGTTGATGAATTAGAGGCTATGCAACTGAATTCTCTGATTTGTTGGTTGCACAAAATTGAGAGGTTTGTACCGGCAGAAGACTTGTCTTTGGCAGCCAGGCGGTCGGCAAGTGACAGCACCTCCCCTTCTTCCGTCACTTCATCATTCACCTCTTCCTTCACAAATAGTTTCTTCTGGACATTTTCATCTTTTGGTTTCTATTCAAGAAATAATAATAATAATAATAATAATAATAATAATAATAATAATAATAATTGTTAATATTTAACAATATTAATAAAGATAATTATGACATATTGTGCACTTTCTTTCCCACTTACATTGCCTCCGTTCTTATATAACTGACCTTTCCAGAATGTCAATCAAACATAACTGACCAATCAGAACAGTGCCTGGAATACACACATCAATCATGCAGCACACATGTTGTCCCGCAATCATGCGTGCTTGTATTCTATTTTATGTTTTAACACTGTTGTTTTGTGCAACATTAGCAACAATACAAAGGGGCAGGGATTATCCGAAGGTCCATTAGTACCAACAATTCAACTTGCTGGCCACAGTTTGTATAGAACAGGATACTTAATTATATACATTATTCATATATTTCATTCACCTATGTGTTTATGTACTGTTTATTCATTGATTATTTTAAACTCTCACCCTTTTCCTGGATGGAGCCTTGTTCTTCATAGCGTCATCAATTCTTGGTACAACACGTCGTCCCATAGGTGATGGTTTGGTTTCAGCAAGTGTTATTTTCGTCTTAAGCTTGGCTTGTCCACGCTTGTTTGCTTTCGCTGCAGCCTTACTTGCAATTTTGTCTCCCTCAACCATATCATCTTTTTCCTTTTTTTCAACAGTCTATATTAGATGCAAGACACTAAATTAGGTACCTTTATATATGTAAAATATCATCAAAAGAATGAAGTTCTGTCCAGATTATAACATTTTCTGTGAAAAACAACTGATGTGCCTATATATGGTTATGTGATGTCATCATGACCATATTTAGGCATGTCACATGTTTTTGTGAAATTAAATTTGATAGAGTGGACAGGGCTATAATCACCTGATTAGAAAATTTAAAACAAAACATAACATTTTAAAGTTTAATTTGGTTTTTGAAAAACCAAATCCAGACGTAAGCATTTGCTGTTTAGATGTGTAGAAATTTTTCTTTTATAAAAAAATTCAGCCTTAGATTTAAACTAACAATGATAAACAAATATTAGGACTACACTTCTATATAATAACAAAATTGCCTAAAAAGTAACTTTTATTCGTTGTTTTATCCTTCAAAATGTGGTCTTAAATTAGATATCATTTGTCACTAGGGAATTCAAAGAAGGTGGACTCGGCCCTGAATTAAGGGAAGCCTCAGAATTAATGGGTTAGCTTAGTGTTAAGACATGGTAAATTGATACTTTAGAAAAACCTGTCTTGAACTAGGGACCTCAAATTGGAGGGTGAACTGTATAAATAAAATATTTTGAAATTCATCTAAAATTATACCTTTTATCAAAAGTTATGCCGAAAAAACAAATTGTGTTGTCCAAACCTTGAATAATCAAGGGATTGTTTTTCACAAAAAATTAGTTACAGACCGACCAATACAGTTATTTCCTTTTCATAAGAAATAGCTTTCTTTAAATCTGTCAGTGAGGAAAGGTTGACATCTGTAAATTTGACAGGAATTTTTTAAACTCACTTCCAACTCTTCCATGAAAGCCTTGAGGTCGTCTCTCCACAGTGATTTTGGAGTTTTCCTCCGAAGGTCCCCAAGTTCCTTTGCTTTTGTGTCACGGTTCTTCAGCAAATCATCTTTCTTCTCCTTGGTCAAGTTCCACATCGCCATGCCAAGCAAATAGTTATAATCAGGACCAGAACCAGAGCTAGCAGCAGACACCGTGCTCTCAGTATCTTCCCCCATGTCATCCTCATCGGTATCAGCAGCATTTTCCATTGTCTCCTTGAGAGCCTTCACAGGGTCACTCTCGTACCCATTGCGCAATAATAAGCTGATCATATCTCGTTTTGTCTTGTTTTCTAGTGGAAGAAGCAACATTATTATAATTTTTCCAACAACAATCCAATCTACAGTATAGTAATAATTTCTTGTGTTATTTAAATTGAATTACAAGTCTTCCTCTAATTAAAGACCATGTTAACAATGTCTTTTATCTTATTCTAATTAGAGACCAAAGCTGCTAAAGACCATGAAAACTCAAAAGTAGTCTTTAATTGGAGTAACACCTGTAATTACAGTACACCATCCAATTCCACACCACTTTTTTATTGCACCAACGATCTTCAATCTCTTAACACTAAGCTGACCCTTTAATTGGAGACCGTAACCTGAGACCATCCCAAATTTTCAGCTCCCAAAATCGGTCTTGAATTAGAGAGTAAATGTAAATGACAATGAACTTATTTCACTCACCAATTACAAGTTTTCCTTCGATTTTCTCCAAGATAAACCTAGCTTGGTTGTTCAGCTTGTTGCTCTCCGCTTCAAGCAACCTCTCCATGTGTATCTTGCGCTTCACGTACATACGTAGACGTAAATCATAAAACTCGCGTAGAATATCCAACACGCTGTCAAATCGCTTGATGCAGCCAAACTCATCAAAAAGGACCTAGGTGTAAATAAAAGATTAAAGCTATAATATTAATATAATTATTGGTGTTTGTTAACGATTAATAATAATAATTATTAATAAAATAACAATAACATCGTAAAATAAAGTAAAATAATCATTTAAAACACAAAACACTGAATGGGTTAATCAACCATTTGGAGAATATCAATGTAAATGTTCACAGTCAAGTTCCTCACCATATTCTGTGTCATTATTGTACTTTGTATCTTGAATGCCTTGTGTAGTCCTATGTGCTCCATTTCAGCCAGCTTTGCCTCCGAAAGCTTGATAAGAAACCTTACAGTGGTATCTGTATGATATTCCTTGTAATCCCTATTAATAAAATATAACAACAAAAATAATCCAATAATAATAATAATCATTTACACATTTGTAAATATAATAATTATTTCATATTGTAGTATAAACAGATATGAAATATATCTTTACAAAATTATTTTGATTTAGCTGAAAGTGTAGCTTAAAACTATCACATTGTACAGATGCTTTTCTCATTTAAACACTAGGCCTATTTTGGTTTCAGTTATACTAGCCTGGATGATGGAGGCAGTGGACTAGAGTGATTCCAAGGGGCTGGATTTTAGGAACAGTGCACTGAAAGGGCTCTAAATTCCTGGACCATGGGGACAGTGCACTGGTGGGTCTGGATCCAAACGCCTGAAGACAGTGCAGTGCCAAGGCTAGAGTCACTATGATCAATGTGTTTTATGCACCAATGAGATACTTAGCCTTCTATATTAGTTTATCATAGCCTCAAAAATAGTACCATAACAGTGGCGTTACAAAGAGGCCTGATGCCCTGGCCAAGACATTCTAGGGCCCCTACCCTGGGGCTGGTTGAGAGTCCAATGGACCTCCTGTTGGAGATTTTGACATTATAAGGGCATATTTTGATGTTTTGTACATGTTCTGCTCTTTAAAAAGCCCTGCTAGGCCGGATCTGGAGCAAAATATAAAATGCTGAATATCGCGGGGCCACTTAAGGCCAGGGGCCACTGCCTAAAACCAGTGAGAGCTTATAGCTGCTAAGACACTGACCATCAAATATTCTGAAATAATTCTGAGGAATATCATTAAAGTACTAGAATTTTTAAACAGTTGGTGGTTTCAACTCACTGAATTACTGCCGGCTGTTTATCAGTCCCATAGAGCATAGGCTCAAGTACGTTTTCCTTGTAGTTCTGTGTCCAACTTCTAATTGGTAGTTCAGTAATCTCTATGGTGTTATTGTCAATTATTGAGACTTCTCCACTCACAACGTATCTGTTTGTTTCCAGCTCTTCGATAGTGCCAACAAATCCCTTATATGAAGGTAACTGTAAAAAGGTTTATGAAATATTTAAGTATTAAATCAAAGAACAGAGATGTTTTCTACCTGAATGCAATGGTCAAATCTTACATGATTTTTTTTTATCTTATGGTTATTACATAAGAAAATAATTTTACGTTTAAATTTAACCCTGGAGGGGAAGGCAAGAGTGGAAAGAACAGAAGGAAATGGAAAAGCAGAAAAGAAACATGCGAGATTGAATGGAAATAAAGGAAACCTCAATAGATGGCAGCTCACCATTGGTAGAGGTTCTTCACCATCAATCAACCTCTTCAAGTTAGCAATGATCTCTCTGATGTCAAAATTCGGAATCTTTGTGCTCCAACCTGTGCCAATCCCTTCACTGCCATTTACTAACACCATTGGGATGATCGGGCAGTACCATTCAGGTTCGATCTTTAGGTTGTCATCAAATTGACTCTTCAGTAGTGCATCATCATTAACGTTGAAAACATGTCTTGCTAGAGGGCTGAAATTTCATTTATTAACGATAATTTAAGCTTGTTAAGTGGTAATGGTTTAAATTATAATAATCAAAGTACAATTAGCATTATTTATTAGCATTATTTTTTTCAGATTGTTAATAAAGTCATATTAATAGCTTGAAAATCAGGGGAGCTTGTTTATAGTGCTTATCTTGAAAACTCTAGGGTTTTGTTTCAAAGGCTAAACTACACAAATTAAGTGTGGTAGTTAACTAGAGAAATATTTTACCTAGATAAACCGATATAATATATCAAGTTTCCCTTTGCTTAAACTTTTAAAAATATATACATTATCCCAGTGCACCATATATATAATATAAATAACACATATTTCAATACTATTTACTCCATGGATTGAATAAAATTTAGTTGTGTTAACACCAAATGTAACTCACAAAAGCCGAAGACTTATATCTAGTGGGTTATCTCTGGGGGTGATTGGGTGATAAAACAGGAGAAAATCCCGTTATTTCCAAAGAGACACTGTGCTCTTTAATACCCTGTCCAGACTATCAAATCTTTAATTGACAAAAACATATGACATGCCTAAATATGGTCAAGATGACATCACATCATCACCATATATAAGCACATCATGACTATATAGGCATGCAACAGTTTTCTGTCAAAAAAAAATAGCGTTAAATTTTTTGTTATGCATATATTTTTGCCCTACAGTACCAAAACCACTCAGTGTTAAACTACAGACACAGTAATACAATGACTTAAAAAAATAATAGTTTTAAATTCTTACCTGAGCTGGGTGAAGATATACCTGGGGCTGGCAGCATCCTTACCCCCATGTAGCCTGGTACCAAACTGTCCAATTGGAAGCAGTAGGTTCAAGTTGTTGCTACCAACGTGATTCTGTGCCATGTTGATAATGGTACTCATCAGGGACATCTGTAAACATTTGAACCAATTAACTAATCTAAACAATTCTCAAGATAATTCAAATGTTGAATTTGCAATGTTCAGCCCCAGATATCGTAACTTTTGGCTGTGCCTCTTTTTTAGTATTTCTTTTTTCTTTCCATTTGTTTATGGTATAGAATAAAACAAATCAAATCAAGCATTTGTTTCTTAAGTAGTAAAACTGAGGTTAGGAAACTATGAATGGAAAATATTTGGTTGGTTTTGTCATCAGTCAAAAAGGAATTTAGGTCAATTTTGTTGGATAGGTTTATCAATATAATTAATCACAATACAAAAGCCTAGGTTCTAAGACACGTTGTGAATTGTATCTATCTGTTTTCTATTGCTTACCTCACCATGATGGTAGGCCGAAATTTCAGCGACGGAACCAGCCATCTGAGCCACTTTTACTTCCCTCTTTTCATACTTTTTCATTGTTGCAAACAGAACTTTTCTCTGACCGGGCTTAAGACCTAAAATAGATTTTAACATACAGTATAAGCAATTGAGTTTGAAACAATTTTCAGATTCTAGCACCTAGAATGAAAGTATATTCTATACTTTATAACTAATGAAACTTTCCGCTAAGCCACACCCCTTGGATATAGTTGCTAAGGTCCCACAAGCGACAGTGTAAAAAAATACGCAAACATGTGCGTTTGTGGGACAAAACGTGTTTCTTAGACACGCACGTATTACTGACACTTCTGATTGGTCAGTTTTAAAGCATGATTGACACGCCGGAAAGGTCCACTGACCAATCAGAATGGGCTACCTAGTAGCTACCACATCCGAAGTAGTTGGAATTTATCAATTACCTGGAATTTTCTCATCATAAATATCTCATGATGAAATACACAGCAGTTTCATACCACCCCTGTTTAGAATTTAAACATCCTGAACTCCTGTTCTCATTGGATGTGACAAACTCAGCCTCATCTTGATGAATTGTGGAAGTGCCACTACAATTAAAAATTTCATAAGAATAATGGTACATACCATCTACCATGCTTGGGATGGAACGTTCATTATCAGCATTGGAGAAGAGCACAAGTTCCTTGTTGATGAAGTCATTATAAGTGATGAACCTTGTGTCCTTGTTGTACAGATACAGCTGTCAAACAAACCATCACAAGTTTGACTTTTTTAATAGGGATTAACATAATATGTAGTTTTTTGTGTTTAGGTCCACCACACCCATATACACAAAACTGTTTCAAGTTCGAGGATTGGGCAGGCTTATCTACCTGCAGACCAAAAAATGCAAATTTAAAGCGAGTCTGCAGGGTAGATATGTCTAGCCTAGCCCTCACAAAGAATGATTTAGGAGGCCTAGGCAGTATAGTGCTAGCTTTCATTGTAATGCTACAATTTAACTCAATTTAGTTATATACTTTGGTTCATTATACATTCGTAGTCGATATCCAAGACATAGTGTAAAATTTCCATTCCAAACCACTGATGTTAAAGCTGGACTTATACTAGAGTGGAGTATTTTGCATGAAAATTACTCAAATGTTAGATAAGTGGCTTATACATGGAAAACAAATTTTTTTTTGCCTTACATCAGGAAGTCCATCCTCTCTCCTTCTCCTTCGTTCATGTAGCCATTCTGTCAGCCATTCTTTTCTTTCATCAATTTTTTTCTTACTGAATGCCTACACATATACAAAAAAGAATATTAATGATCATTCCTGATGATGACATAATTAATGTCGGAGCATTGAATCCCAACACAATGTTGTGCATTTTAATACTTGGAGGGTGTGCAGTATTATACTTTATTAATGATCTACGTTATGGATTCATTAAAAATGGTATAGTATAGTGATAACATCCATTATGCAGTACATGTTTGTAAAATGCTGAAACATCTCTACCATTAACAACAAAGTAATCACCTTCATTACCACTTCAAACATTCTTATCAATTTGTTGCCCAAATCTGGCCAATAAAAATTGTGAAAATCTGAAGTCAGCATTTTATTAAAGTAAATATTTTTTTTTAAAAAACAATAATGATCTCTAAATACTGGCATGGTATTCAAAAAGGGGCACTTTCCAAGAAACAAAATCCAATTATCTATTTCAGTATAAGACAAATGTACAACTTGATTAGCCAGAGTTTGGCCTAATAGCAAAACTTGTAGAACAGCAAATGATAATCAGGGGTACTTGATTCAAATTCCAATTGGGCCATTACATTTTTAATATTGATCATTAACAGAATGAGATAGAACAGGTGCTCAAACATATATGCCAATCAAAAATGCGAATCATTCACTGAAAGCTATCCGTACCAGCTCAATCGCAGCATCGTCTTCTGGACCAGCGTATCTGAACGGGATGCGATGGTTCACCATGTCTGAGAAGTACTCTTTCGCCTCTTTCATTGTGCTGGTACCCAAACCTGGAAGATGGGGGTTATTATTTATTTACCAATTTGCAGCTACAATACATAAGACAATCATTACATACAATCTTAAAAAAGTGGTGAAAATAAAGGCCTGATGTAAGCCATGTTACTTTAAAAATAAACAGAAGCCAACATTAAATTAGGAGAATTAATATTACTTTTTTAAAAGTATATTTTAAAAGTGGTAATAATATATGTTCTTCATATATGTGTTGAAATGCTTCATATAATATTCTCATCTATATATATATTGAAATAGAAGTCACCAGACTTTGAAGTTGAAAATAAAGAGCGCCAAATCGAACAAACCAAGAAATAACTGCATATCATACACATCATTATCATCCAGGAGCACACCACAATGAAGCTGAAGCTGATGATGAAAATGATCACCATGATGATGATAATGATGATGATGATGCAAGATATTTGACTAAGTTTTAAAAACCAAAAAATGCAAACCTTTGTAGTATTTTATCTTGTAGGTTTTCCAGTTTTCAGTTTCGGATTTCCACTGTTCAAACTCGGGCAACGAGAAGAAGGATTTCTTATCATTAGCCTTGGTAGCCTGTACATATGAAATACATATCATAATAAAAATCAAAGAAATGTTTAAAATAACATACATAGGACTACAGAGAGGGACACACACATGACTATCACATGACACACACATGACTATCACATGACACACACATGACTATCAAAGTTTATTTGACAAAAAATGTGACATGCCTAAACATGACATTTTGAAAATTCGATTTTTTTGGACAGAGCTTTATTATGAAAGAAGAATGTTTACAGTTTTAACAAATCTAGACATGGTAATACTTTAGTACATTTAGTACAATAATAACAAAGCTAACAACAAACAACAGCATAGCTTTGTTGGCTACAGTGGTGGTTGCCAGTGTGTGTGTGTGTGTGCACTGAACTGTGGAGATCCATTCAGATTTTTGGTGTGTGGTTTAACATTTATCACTGCTCATCAAGTGTCTCAGCTCAGCGACCAAAATGCAAGTTACAAAATTACATTCTCTTTGAATGAATAAATGGATGATTGAGTAAATAAGTAAATGAATGAATGAATAAAAATGTTATCACCTTTACAATTGGAGTAATGAACTCCTCTACAAAGCGGTAACGCAGCAAATGAGGCCAGTTTGTTTGTATGAAGTTAATTAAGAGTCCTTTAATATGAGAGCCATCCTGATCCTGATCTGTCATTATCATCACTTTGCCGTAACGTAGGGACTTGAGTGTGTCCTCCTCTGTGTATTTGTTCTTGTATTGCAGACCAAGGATCTTGATAATGTTGTTAATCTCAGCATTCTCCATAATCTACAAAGTGAAGGTAAAAATACTTTTATAATTATGATTGTTGTTAGTTGGACCATGGAGGTATTATTGAGAAGGAGATCACTCGGCAACAGATCCCTTTGACGCGACAAACCTATGTGTTCCCCGCCTTTGGATCGCGCGCGGGCGTATTACCCTATAATTCACATTTTTTTCGTTAGCAACAACTTGGCAACGACAGACGTTTATACGCTCCAGCACAGAAGTTGTGCGATAAAGAGTTTGATTTTAACCCATTAACCATCTTTAAAATAAACAACGTTCCCCTGATTGTATTTTTTCTGACTTTTTTAGTATGTTATTATGTGTATATTTCAGAAACAGATTCCGCAAAATATTTCTGTTAAAATTATTTCTGTGTTCATTACAATTTTGTCTAAAGATCGATTTGTTTGACTATAAAGCTAAGGCAGCGTAAAACTGAAAATTACTCTGATTCTGGATTGAAATTTTGATTAGTTAACCCTAAAATGACTTAGTTTATTATAATCCTTCATCATTCCTTAATTAATATCTGTTAAAATTGGAATTATCGAGTTTTATAGAATTATGGAAATTCAAGTTGCAATATACCATACTTATAAAGCTGATGTAAATGTTTCATTAAATTCACTTATTTTGATAAAATATTATTATGTTTGGTATTTCTTGAAAGATCAATGTATTAGCTTCAAGATGGAAATGATTGCGAAGCCATAGTGACTGAGTGTAAGTAGTGCGCATTGAGAAAAGAACGTGCTCTCCATTTTGCCGTGTTAAATCTCTTGGTAATCAAAGCCTCCTGAGCATTTGGTGGCGGGGAATACATTAGACTTCAAAGGCATCGTGCAAACGTTCTTCACGCGCTGCGGCACCTTTGTTCTTGGTTCATTAGCATAGCTCTGCGTGCGCACAGCTTTTTCGAGTCATCTCCTCAATAATACCTCCATGGTTGGACTAGATTGTAATTAAACAGGAAACTTTGTAATATAAACAAGTCACTTTGAAATATATAAACAGGTAAAAATTGTAATATAAAAAAACTCACACTGTAATAATAATACACAAGTAACAAAATCATAGTGTAATGTATAAAAAGGTCACATTTAACATAAATAGGGCACACTAATAAAAACAAGTCACAATGTAATATAAAAAAGTTATGTTGTAATATAAACTATATATACTGTAATAAACAGTCATATAATTAAACAGGTAACATTGTAATATACGCATGTCACAATATAATATAAAAAGTCGCATTGTAAGTACAGTAGAACCCCTCATTTACGAACCCCGATTTTACGAATTCCCGATTTTACGAACGTAATATAAAGGTGATGACGTCATAAAAATTGAAGCGAAAGATTAAAAAAAAAAAAAACCCGCTCGAAGTGTACCTGTTATTACCATGCATACAACACAACACACCATACTATACAGTACTATGTAATTCTCAAGTGAAGGAGGCCCTCTAACGGGCCTCTTCAAAGTCAGTGTTTTTTATGGCTTCACACATGTGCATGCGACAATTTTTACTTCTCTTTCAAACATCGTTTTCAGCTTTAAAATTCAACATAGTGCTTGATTTTTTTATTGAATGATCAATATATATAATAAACAAGTATCTATGGAAGTTGTGTTGGAATAAAATCCACGATCTAGGTATTTAAGAAGGTAAAAATGTCCGATAAAAACAAATTTGTGCAGGGCCTAGAGTGGGATCAGAATGCTTAAAAGCTGCCTACTGTAGGCCTAGGCCCCCTCAGACTTAGCTGCGTAAGCCTGTAGGCCTAGCCTAGGCCTAGTTTATGCCAGTGTAAGTAGTATCAGTGCAAATATATAGGAATTTGGGTCAACCCCGATTTTACGAATACCCGAATTTACGAACGGCTCTGGGCCCGTGCCGTACGTAAATGAGGGGTTCTACTGTAATATAAACCGGCTATAATACAAATAGGTCATACGTATTATATAAAAGCTCACATTAATATAAACAGGTTACATTGTAATAACATACAAGTCACATAGTAATAAAAACAACAAGTCATAATATAATGTACAGGTCACATTGTAATATAAATACGTCACACTAATAAAAACAAGTCAAGGTGTAATATAAAATGGTCATGTTGTAATATAAACAGTTATACTGTAATTTAAACAGCTATATTTTAATAAAAAAAGGTCACAAAAAATATAAATACGTTATCATAAACAGTTCACAATGAAGCATGAAATGTTCATAATATATTATATAAATAAGTAACACTCTAAAATAAACAGGTCACATTGTTATAAATGGGTCACGATGAAATATAAACCAGTCACATTGTAACCTAAACAGGTCACATTGTATTACTTGATAATTACACACACATACCTGTTTATGAGAGGCCTCACGAACGTTTAGGACTTTACCCCTGAGAGGGAATACACCATAGCGATCTCGTCCTACAACCCCCAGACCACTAACGGCCAACGACTTGGCCGAGTCTCCCTCAGTGAGGATGAGTGTACAATCGAGGGAATGCCTTCCTCCAGCGTCATTAGCATCATCGAGTTTGGGAATACCCTTCAGTTTAGTGTGCTTCTTTGACGTGCATTTCTTGTCAAGTTGACTCTACAGAAAAAAAAAATCATGTTTGAGATTAGTTTAACCTTTGACATCCTTAAATTCAATCAACATGCAAAATCAATCAAGGTATATGACATATAATGCAATGAACCTTTAGTCAAATTTTGTCAAACAATTTATCAGATCAATTTTGACTTAGGCAAAGTTGACTATACTGATATTAACTTAGAAGTAGATGAACTGTGCAAGGCAGCTAACAAGGGCAAATTCCCAGTTAAACTAGGGATGCACTTGGTGTCATTATATGTCTCTTCATTTTTTTTAAGTTCTTTTTTTTCCTTTAACACCAAAATCATTGGCAGGTCAAACTTAAATCACTTAAGGCCAACAAAAGTCGTACGATACAGCCTGACATGATTACAGTAGTTGACACATTGGATCTGTTTGAGTTAAATGTAGACACACAATATATCTGCATCGTAGAGTCGCAACATAGAATATTAAACATGTTAAAATTTCTCACGACGACCTAAGAATGTCCCCAACAATAAATTGTGTCGTATAACACTCTCTGAGATGGATTGTATGGGTTTATGACAGCGACTGGCGGACCCCTTTCTTGAAAGTATATTAGCCAGTATTAATGATTTTAAATAAATTCTGGGCATACCTGAGCTTTGAACCTCATCCATGACATAACACTCTCCACAACACCGCAGTTCATGGCCTGAAACACGAAACAATAATGTGATTGAAATCTACCAACAATTTAAAACCACTGATATTCTAGTTTTTTAAGTGTACAGTATTTTCCCCATTGTTAAACTTCATACCATGTATAAACTTTTTCTACTGGGTGGACAAAATATGCATACAAAACTTTCATTGCCAAAGGAATTAAGTAAAATATTCAGTGTGGAATTACAACACAGACTTCAAACCACAACTTCTCTGTTGACTGCCCTTACAATTAACTCTACCTACCTGCTTAAAGAACTTTTCACTGAGTGCACACGTGGATCCAAACTTCTTTGTCTGTAGCGTCATATTCTCCTTGGTTTGAGAATCAAAAGCTGGGTTCTCTATAAGACAGTTTACAAACACCCACAAATGATTCTTGATCTAAGGGATGACGAATAACATTTTTTATAAAAAAAGAAAAAAAGTTAGTTAACAATGATACACATTTGGGGTTCTAAATGGGTTAAGTGGGGGGGGGGGGCACTAAAGGGTCTCATAATCCGAGAAAACATGGTGCCAGTTGCAGCCCAAAACTACAAATTACAACTACTACAGGATAACACTGAAAACTATTATAAAAATTATAAAATTACCTGAAATGGTTTGACATTAATGCCACTTTTGTTCTTCTTCTTAACTGCTTGAATTAATTTTGTGACAATTTGGTCTGTGACGTAATCAGTATGCCGGCCACCCTACAATAAAGAACAAGGTAATTGCAGTAAAAAAAATATATATATAATACTGACCTAGCAAAGCACTTGGCCAATTGACCAATAGGAATGAAGTATACTAATTAATTCTTGGACAATTGGTATGAATGACAAATGTTACCTTGAAAAGTAAAACATTTCTTAACTATGACAAAGGTTGATATATTTTTTAATGAGGTGTGACATTAAGTAAATAATTTTTGCAAATGCCTGAAAAAATACCCAAAGATGTTGAGGGTATGAAGAGAAAAACTTGATGATGATATTTATAGGTGTACAAAGAGTGATACCAACTAACATATAACCCATATATACAAAACAAATTGGACCAAAATGGAACAAATAACTACTCCGTGTTCTCCCAATCAAAAGATTTTTACTGGTAAATGTGTTCTAAAGCCAGCTGATTGCACATCATGAGGAGTTAGCTCTTTGGGTGGGGATCAGTGATTACAAAAAAACAACATGTACAGTTGTATTGTAGTCCTGGACTAGAATATATAACATTTATTTATAGAAAGAAGGCCAGGCTAGGCTACCTAACCTGGCCTAATTAGTATTAAGTATATCAACACACAAATTTTACTGGTCGGTGGTTTAATTTACCAGTAATATTTATGACAAAAACTGAGGACACTGCTGCTACTATAGCATATACAGATGAAAGGTCTTACTTTGGTCGTTGCTATGCTGTTCACGAAGCTGACTTGCTGGAAACCCTTCTCACTCATACAGATGCAGACTTCCCATCTTGGGTTTACTACTTCATGCACCACCTTCAACGGGTTTCCATCGTCATCAAATCTCTTGCCAACGTACATATCAACATACGACTTGAAACCATTAAGCTAAATCATGACAAATGTGAAATCAAAATTAGAATTGTGTTATTGCTTGATGAGTAAAAAATATCAGGGGTCCAAAGTTAGAAGCCACTTCCTATTTAATTATATTTCTTAACATATGTAATTTTATTTTTCTTACTTAAGAGCAAAAATTAATAAAAACCTGAAAAATAACAAATTTATTGCAGATGGGTTAGTCTCCAGAGGATTTTTGCTTCATCGCAGGAGTGCTGGAGATCATGCTAATATCCGTTACACTCACAAGAATCGTGAGAGATTGGGACCCTTTAAATACTCATCAAGAAACTTACTGGAAGCCTCTTTCCATTCAAATACACTTTGACTCCCTTAGTGGCGCCAGCGATATCGTAGGCTCTCCTTGTTAACAATGCCACTGTGTCCGGATCCAGAGATTCCATGTGGAATCGAGGCAGGTCTGGTCGGAAGGTGACTTCTGTGAAATCTTTGCCATCAAAAGGTACAATCTTATGTTCGCCGGCCTTTCCCATGTTATTTGTCCATGTCTGTAAATAGAAATATTACAACAATCTGTTTGTCTGCAAGCTTGATTATGCAAAAACTAAGAAATGGATCGTCATAAAATTTAGTGGAATGTGTACATAGTAATCTAAGAAAGAGATAATAACTTTTGGGAAGAAAAGGTCAAAGGACAATGTCAAGGTGACAGATATTATGGAGCTTTCGATTGCACAACGAGGGTAGGATATAGAACGTAATGACGTCACTACTTGTCATCTGCGCATGTGAGAACGTTAAGGTCACCTCGTCGAGTAGATTCTGGAACGCAATTTGGCCAAATCTACGTATGCAAAGAACATAGGGTGCCAGGTAGGAGGCTCACGCATGAGTGATTCCGTCCTAGCGTCGCATCGTTGCACAAATCAAAAGCTCCCTATTCATGTTTTGCCCTTGAACATGAAAGACACAGGATGGAGGTAAGTACTCTATGGAGTGACTGCTCTAGTTGTTGGTGTGTTTTACTACTGATATCCTTATATATTTCTTTGTTACTAATCTTTTAATTGCCATGCATTTATACACTAACTTACTTGTGAGAACTTTTTCTTGTACTCTTTACATGCTGTTACTACTTTAAACTTCTGGCTGAAAATGTTGCACAGCTTGGCACCATAACCGTTACGACCACCTGTTGAGAATAAAACCAACTTCCAAGTGGACGTAAAGCAACAGCAATGGAATAAATAACATTAAATTATAGGCAGTGGCAGTTTTTACACCAGTTTTTAAACCAATTTTCAATTCTGATTTCATGTTATTGTCCTAATCCAATCCGTACATACAATAACATCTAATCAGAATTTGAAGTGTTTTAAGACCGGATGTGTAACAATAGCCACTGCCTAAATAATAATAGTGAACATTTACAAGGTGCCGTCTCTACATAGATGTGCTCATGGTGTCACAACCTAGTTTTTAGAATGAGATGAAAATATGTTTTTTAAAGGAAAAAAAATTTAAGGCAGACAAAATGTACAACTATGTTCTGAAGCTCTTGCACAGTCCTTAATTGGATACCAGAAGATCCATATAACAAAGAGTTACAGAAATCAAAGTGATAATGGCACAGACAAGTGATTCCGCAGTGGAATGCAAAATGTATGGGCAAATAGATGAAATTTGTCTAAGGCGAAAATATCCAGATTTACAGAGAGATGAAAAACGGTTCTGAAAAGTAAACTGACTGTAACGTCAAAGACTCAAACATAACACCCGAATTGGATGCTGAAATTGACGATGGCATATTAAGTAAGCAAACCTGTAATTTAAGTTAGGCAAAAAAAAGATAAAAAACTATAGATCACGTAAAACCAACTACCGCTAGCCCTGTAAATACACGCTTGGTTGTTGTATGTTTGTAAAGTTGTTTTTTTTTCCTAAAACATAACGTGCAGCACAAGGACAGGGAATACTAAAGTTTCTCTTACCTGTTACTTTACACTCATCATCATTGTAGTTACTGGATGTGAGGAGGTGGCCAAAAATCAACTCTATTACCTGTTACTTTACGCTTATCATCATTGTAGTTACTGGATGTGAGGAGGTGGCCAAAAATCAACTCTCTTACCTGTTACTTTACGCTCATCATCATTGTAGTTACTGGATGTGAGGAGGTGGCCAAAAATCAACTCTCTTACCTGTTACTTTACGCTCATCATCATTGTAGTTACTGGATGTGAGGAGGTGGCCAAAAATCAACTCAGGTACAAAGACTTTCTCAGTTTGGTGCTCTACAATAGGAATACCTTTGCCATTGTTCCATACACTAATGGAATTATTTTCCCTGAACACAAGGAAGAAAAAAATGAATTCCAATTATTTGTATACATTTAGTACAATCAGGATAGTAAGTATCTACAGTATAATTATACAAAGCAATGTACAGTAGAACCTCGATTTTACGTACAGTACGGGACCGGAGGGCGTACGTAAATCGGGGGATTCGTAAAATAGAGGTTGGGCTAAATTTGTGGTAACCTTTGACCTAATATATACGTAACGCCATTAAACGTATGTATGAACGAACAATGTTACCTAGGCTAGACCTAGCCTCTAGGCCTACGAATAAAACCATTTGTTTAGTGTTTTTATTCATCACTTTACGATGTCATAATAAAGAGTTCAAATAAAACCATGTGTCTAGTGTATTAATTCATCACTTTATATCTTTTATTTAACTAAAGAACATGAAAATATTGTAAGATTACCTATACGACAAAGGTATAACTTGGGAATTCCCCTTCATGCCTATTCTAAACAACAGAGCTGCGGTGTTGTCTGGGCCTGTTGAGACAAACTAAAACCATGTGCGCTGCACTGGGCGAGCCAACCAATTAGCGTTTGTGTACGTGAGACAACAACCATGTGCAATGCACTGGCCGAGCCAACCAATTAGCGTTCGTGTACGAAACTATGTCTACCCAGCTTCGTGTAAAAAAATTCGACCAGACGAGATTTTCCATGGTTTGCCACATGAAGCTAAGGAGGAAAGCAATTATTTTGAGCACCATCGGTAGATGTTCATCTCACTCAGTTCACGTGGTTTCAGATTACAACAACCCGGTATTAGACTCAATCAACGTTGCTGTTTAATGAAAATATGTTGCATTATGGTTTGTATATTTTTATAGTCTTCTTACTTTATGGTTGCTCTGAAAAGGGCCGTTTGTTTTGAATACTTTTGGGTTTTTTGATGACGTCATCATCGATATGAGGCGTACGTCAAACCGAGGGTTCGTATAACTGGGGTACGTAAAAATGAGGTTCTACTGTATAGCAAATTCATCCATTCAGTGCCATAAAAATTTAAAAGACTTACGGATCAATTGTGATCTTGATACAGTCCATAGTAGGATCTCTCTGCTTATTATCAGCAGCATTTACTATAAGATAGAACAAAAACAATAATTTAGCATAGAAATATGATATGTAACCAAATTAAACTTTTTAGTTCACATTTATAATAGTTTTTATAAACATTTTAGGCTTACCAAGGATTTCATCAAATATCTTATACAACCCTGGTACAAAAGTAACCTCTCTGTTGACCATGCCTTCTTCTCCATCATGAACCCACATTTGCTGCAAAGACAATATTATTACTGTAGGTGTTGAAAATTAAATTAATATGCCAAATAACCTATCCTCTTTCAATTTATGGTTTCATATCTAAGTATTACCCTATATAAGCCATGGGTAGTAATTCAACTTACTGACTTAGTAAACCCATACAATACAAATGATGTACTCAGGACCGAATATAAATAGAGTAGAGCACACTTCAAAAATGAGGACTCGGCCTAAAATTCATTATAATTTATAATAAGACATTTCTAAGCTCTGCCCACACTATATTTTTCTCTGACTTGCCCATATATGGGCATGATGGTGTCATAACACACCAAACGACAGGTATTTGTCACATAAAACTTGATAATGTGGACAGAACCTAATTATTATGAATACGATTTTCAAAATATCATTTTGTCATTCTTATGAACTAAATTGCCTACCTGTTTAACAGGTTCAGTGGATCCAATGTATGAATCAGGACGAAGAAGTATATGCTCAAGCTGTGTCTTCTTCTGGTAGATCCTTTCTACTGACAACCTTTTGTTACCCTTTTTCTGGGGCTTTGGTTGAGCTCCCTCAGCTGTAGCATCATCATCATCATTATCAAATATAGTCTAAAAAAAAAATGAAAATATAAGTTCACAAACATATGTTTAATGGCTTTTGGTAACGGCATGCCGTGAGTTGAATTAACACATCATACGTATAATACACACATTCAACTAAATTATACACCCAGAAATACCACATCACCAACTACAAATAATTGCTGGCAAAAATGTTCATTTGTTAACAAAATCAATAATTATCTGCATAAAAAAATGCACTTCATACCGAGAAGAAATGTTGTGGTTGCACGCTGAGTTCTTGTCTACACAATCCAGATGCATACATGTAATCGCCAAATATGAGTGTCCAGACAGGATTTTTTGAGAGAGTGAACATGACGTGAAGTCAGAATAAATGTATTTTTCACGATTATTATCGAACAATTTTATAGAAAAAAAACGGAGGCAGCTTCAAAAAAAGAAGCATGTGGGGACACTATAGCATGTATTTTGCAATACAGTAGTTACAATTCTGCACACCTATTTTCCTAGTGATTTTCCGGGAAAATTTCAGCTGGTTTTTTAAGTATTCCCCATTGTTGTGTTGAAAGACGAAATATGATCGGACATCTATCAGTCAAGTAATACTAGGAATAGTAGGCTAAAGCCAGTTTGTCAACAAACTTACTTAACATTTTAACAAAAGAGCTAATTATAAAAAATATGCATTTCGGCCTAGCCTTGCCTAGTTAAGCCTAGCTAGGCCAAAAATGCTTTCTAGCAATAGCATTAAATAATTATGCCTAGGCTCAGGTGATGAGTTGATCCTAGGCCCTCCTACGCCTAGCCTACCTACCTAGAGTAGAGGAGGAGGCTAGTCCTAGCCTGCCTAGCTAGGCCCTAGGCTAGAGTAGAGGCCTAGGCTAGGCCTAGGTTATAAATTATGCCATTAAAAATGATTTAAAACCTTATCTAAGCAAAAATACAGAGAGTACAAACAAAGCATATGAACAATGTTTTACCCTACCCGCAATGGTGTCGTTGCATCCATTGTGAAACTTAACTCAATTCAATAAATTTACGTTAATTTCTGAGCACTTGGATTTTCGGTAAATTCAACTTTCCCTTTACCTCCTCCCGTTTCCCCGCGCCCGCGTATTAATATTTAAATTTAAGATAATGTATATAGCGTGACCAATGAATGCGCAGGTCTCAATCATAAGAGGGCGCCAAACGATTACGGGCACTGAGAGAAATTAAGATCAAACCTGGTACTCACCACCCACTTTAAACCTTTTTCCGATTCTGAATTCGACGTCATTATGCTTAGTAAAATATCAACAACTGTTTGCTATAATTTGTCTGTAAAAACGACCCTTTCAGTTGAAACAGATGCTTTGACTAGTCCTAAGGTTCGCCTGCTTGAAACCTGTTAGCCTTCGACGCCGGTTTTGACGATTCTTTGTTGTAACACGGCCAAAAGTCGTCGTAAATCAAAGTCAGAATTCCAAATAAAGACTCTGAATAAGTCCAATAGGTGGATTAGAATCTGTAGATTCTCTGTTATGTAAATATCTTGAATATATTGCCCCTAACATATCATAATTTTAAAACAAAACCTCAAATTATATGCACCTCAAATCAATGGAAGCGGACATCTTGCTTGTTCGATTTAAACCATTTTGCTAATGCATAAGTTATTCCGATTGGACCACAATAATTAGCTTTAATAATTCACTTGATTTATATTTGAAAATCTGCATTTTCTAGTAAATAAATTAAGAGAACGCTGATAATAATAATTTGGGCATAATTGCATATAATATGTATATATATATATACATTTACGTATAAAATAAAATAGTGGTTTTAATTCAAGGAAATCAGTAGGTCATAGTTCAAAACAGTCAAGAGAATTGACTACTCACACGGAAAAATGGAAATAGAAATCTCAACAACTAGGCCTATGTAGGCCTAGAGGATGACACAAGTTGATTTTGTACTTGAAAAACCTTAGATTTGTCAATTTTTTTATTTTCTTTCATTTTTTAAAATTATTTTTATTGGGCACACCGTTACGAACCTGTACCACTGTTGTAAAAGTCACGGTTGTTTGCAAATATAGAATAATCTCAGGGGCGGACTTTCCGCCTCCCCCTTTTGGACATTTCTGGATCCGCCCCTGTAATATCAATACAATATCGCAGTAAAACTGCATTGATGTTATAACGGGTTCTGGACAAAACGGCAAAAAACCAAAACGGCAATGACCAAAACGGTAATGACCAAAACGCAACGGCAATATTAATCCAAAACGGCAATGATACTGAAAGTACCAAGCGGCAACAACCAAAACGGCAATGTCAACCACCAAAACGCAATAGGCATAGACCAAAACGGCCACCGTTTGTTTTTTTTAATACATACCCATGACGAATTATTTCGTTATTTTAATGTCTTTATTTTCTTTATTTTTATTTATTATTATTATTTTTTTTTTCTTTCCCGTTTTTACTTTCATGACATAAATTGTTTAGCCTCATATTATCTGTATTTTAAGGTTTTAATTATTTAAATGTTCACTGGTTTTATACTGTAGGCCTATATATTATATTGCGTTCTCCCAGTCTTTCTTACTATTGAATTTGTATGTTGTATTGTTGTTGTTTTTATTATTATTATTATTATTATTATTACGTGTTTTTTTTTTCTTTCGCGCTTTTTTACTTTTATGACAAATTGTTTAGCCTCATTCTGTATTTTAAAGTTTTAATTATTTAAATGTTTACTGCTTTTATATTTTATATTCCCCAAATCTTTTAAATATTTTTATGTTATAGGCCCTACTATTATTATTATTATTATTATTATTATTATTATTATTATTATTTATTATTATTATTATTATTATTAGGCCTATTATTATTATTAATGTTCTTCTTTCGCGTTTTTTACTTCTATGACAATTTAGCCTCATTTTCATCGCATTTATCTTGTACACTTTCATGTTTATAATTGGTTTTATGTAGTGCTACATTGGAATTAAGTTAAATAAAACTTTTATAGACCATTCTTGCATCATCTTTTATTGTAATATTTTTTGTCCTGCCTTTTTGTCCTGCCATTCTTGCATCATCTTTTATTGTAATATTTTTTGTCCTGCCTTGTGCGAATTTTATCTGTTTTGTACAATGTTTTGATGATGAGAAATAAACTGAACTGATGATATACCAAAATAAATATTGAATCATAATGGTCTGCTAATTTTATTTGAGTTGTACTTTTTCATGTTGTTATATTAGTAACAGCAGTTAAAATAAAACCATCAAACCGAGGTAAATAGGCCTACGAGTTAATAGCACCTTAGAGCATTGCAGGTTAAGATCCATGGCTAAATGGAAAAAAAGGATTAGCCTTTATCTTGTGATTAATCTCTTAGGTTATCACACCTACACATAAGCAATCCTTGACTGATGCACATTTATTAAATAATGTTATGCCATATGTTATATAGTGGGCTACGAATAATGTTGCATTTCATGATTTTGAACATTTTCACGCTTTTCAAATTAAAATTGGATAAGTACTTACGAAGATATGATATTAATCACTGTTTTTGGTAAGGTTTTAGTCAGCTATTCAATATAATACCTTACACCCCTCTGCCGATAGCCATTCAAGCAAGGCATTACCTATCAGCCAGAGATGAATAGAAACGCATTTGAAAAGAAGATGCAATTGTTTGTGGGCCTAGGCTATATTACTATAATTATAAGGAGGTGTTCTGATGGACATTTTTAGGGACCTATGTATTATACACTTTACAATTATTATCATTATTATTATTATTATTATTATTATTATTATTATTATTATTATTATTATTATTATTATTATTATTATTATTATTATTATTATTATCAGCATATATTATTAGTATATAGCAAGAAGAGAAACGTTTTATTTATTTATTTATTGTATAGTTTTCTGTGTACCTATAGTACCTATGTTGACGTTGTTTTTTTTTGTTTTTTTTTGTTTTTTTTTTGTGCATGTTAGGATTGTATATGTTATTGTCATTTTCTTTTTATTACCCTAATATGCTCATCTGTGTTTGGATTTTTCTTTTTCTATTTGTAGCAAACTTTACATTGTTGTCACAGTAAATCATTGAATATAGCTTGCTACCAATTAATCATGTCCCAATGTCTAGTTGTGGGAATGGTCAACAAACAATTATTTAACATTAATTTGGTAGTTAATTCCAGTAAACAATGTATTCACAAATAACTTTAGAAGGCTGTTTAATTGAAATAATGTTTATCTACTTTCACTCAATAGACTTTTTGAAATGTAGAAAGATCTACACTATGGTTTTCTGCAGTTTCATTACCGTGTTGATAGGCGGCCCAGTATAAAACAGGGCACACATCTGGTTACCCTCCAAAAACAACAGTTATTAGTCAGGAAATAACAATCATTATTAGGAAAAGTTAACTGTAAAGTATTAACTTTTTCCTAGTAAAATTTTAATAACTTAATACATGAAAATAACAATTGTGATTTATTAGTCAGTCAATTATGGGTACTCAGTGCTACAATATTTTTACAATTCATGTATATACACATCTCATGTCCAAGAGTTAGACAAAACATGAGGGAAGGAAAAATAGGCTATAGTTAGGGTGAAAAACCCAGTTTTTTGGCCAAAGTGGCAAACAATTATTTACAATGGTTTTTTGAGTAGAAACTATCTAAGAGGGTTTCAAGAGCCACCAAAAAAAAAAGTTGGAACAATTTTTCCCATGGGTAAAAGAGTTATGACCTTTTATATAAAGGTCAATCTATTTTTAGTAACAAACACTGAAACAGTAGGGGTAGTCGGTTCTATCCCACATATGACCCAAACAACAATTGCAAGAAAACTTTTGTTCGGAGGTTTTCTGTAGCATAAGGTCTAGAAAAGATGAATATGTATATTTTAGCCAAAAATTGCACAAGCATCAAGTGATTTCTCCAAAATGGCGCCAAAAACTTTAAAATAGCCATAAATTAAGTTCTTTTTGTCTCGGAGTGTTTTGGGACGCTGTCCAAAAAAAAAAAAAACTTACGCCTCCTTCACATTGGAAGCAAAAAAGTCAGCTAAAGTAGTTAAAATCATTGAATATCATCTTATTTTGCAACTTAACGCCCAGTGGCGGATCCAGGTGAGGGGGGGGATACACATCTAGATGTGTATAAGAGACAGGTATTATACACTTTACAATTATTATCATT